CTTTTATCCAAATGGGCAACCAAAAGACAGCAACCAAAACCGGCGCACGAAAGTGCATGGTTAATGGTTGAAAAAACTGAAACATTTATTTATTCGCACGCTTTTTCGTAAAAAACATGTATTAGGTCACTGTGAATAGTTTGTGGCCTGGCGTCGGCTGAAAGTGTTTGAGTAGGGTTCACTGTGGATCAGTCAAACGCATTGGACGTTCTGCAGTTCAAGGATCGCACGTTGTTACACGGTGACTGAAAAAGCTCTGTTTGCAGCGGAATAAATCAAGGTTCTGACGGTCAACTGTGATTTTTTGTCTGCATTACAGCTTGCTTGTTTTGCACAATCCTACTGGTAGCAATTAGCCAGTATCACATAAAGCCTATTTTCAAAGGTGTCACACAGTCAGTCATAGAGCCTCGTGTTGTATGACTTAAAATTGTGTACCACTTTTTCACGTGACCTATCGTCAGTGTCCTTGACGAGAGAAAAAGCAGCCTGATCTACACTCCCAGTGGAAAGTAGACGAAGTATCCGTGTTGCAACACATATATCTCTCCCTCCCACTGAAATCAACACAGTCGAACAACTGATCAGGCGAGAGATCATAATCAGCTGAAGAGCATTTCCACATCGCAAAATATCTCTGGGCACACAAAGAAATTTTCTTTTCAGTATCACGGAGGTACCACTCACCCAAAACTACTACTAACATTAATGGACTTGACTAGGTACCAAACCATCCCCCAAGGAGAGGCTCGTCTGGTACCGAGCGATTATCCTGCTTCTACCGAAATTTCCCCTAACCAATCACCAGGTCCCTCTTGACACTACCGTGATGGTGGTGATGATGATGATGGTGCTGGTGGTGGTGGTGGTGATGATAGTGGTGGTGATGGTGGTGGTGGTGGTGGTGATGGTGTTTTTGATGATGATGATGGTGGTTCGGATGGCGGTAATGACGTTGGTGGTGATGGTGGTGGTGATGATGTTGGTGATGGTGGAGATGGTGGTGTTGATGGTGGTGTTGATGGTGGTGTTTATTGTGATGATGTTGATGGTGGTGGTGGTGGTGTTGGTAGTGGTGATGGTGGCGATGGTGGTGGTGATGGTGTTTGTGATGGTGCTGGTGATTGTGGTGATGATTATGATGTTGGTGGTTGTTATGGTGGTGGTGATGATGATGGTGGTGGTGTTGGTATTGGTGATGTTGGTGGTGGTGGTGATGGTTGTGTTGTTGATGGTGGTGGTGGTGATGGTGTTTTTGATGATGGTGATGGTGGTGGTGATGGTGTTGGTGATGGTGATGATGGTGATTTTAGTGGTGGTGATGATGATGGTGGTTGCGGTGATGATGTTGGTGGTGATGATGTTGGTGGTGATGATGTTGGTGATGGTGGTGTTGATGGTGTTGATGATGATGGTGGTGGTGGTGATAATGGTGGTGGTGATGATGATGGTTGTGGTTTTCGGGGAGGAAAAGTAGATTAGATTAACAAACGTGACTTATCACTGCCATAAGCAATTTAGGACACTGAACTTGTTACCACTTTGACCTCTGGAAGCAGAACTGTGCCCTAATATGGCCTAGAATCGCCTCCGATCTTTGTTTGCGGCTAACTACTATTCGTTCCATAGACTCATCCCACAGACGGAGCTAACTGCGAATAGGTAAACATCCTAAGCATAATGTACCTACGCAGTGGACAATATGTCCTTTGAGTCAGCCATGAGGATCGAGATCCGGTCAAAGTTTGCCACTATCTGTGGAGGCTTGATTCAATATGCATTGTTTAGTCGAGCAATACTCAACAATCACAATCGATTTTCACATATCACTTTAACAGACGGCCACTATCCATGGAAGTAACACTAGCTTATCTGTAGTCTTCCATTCACCGCAAGTCGGATTCTTTTCTCATTAGTTTACCGACTTCGTGTGTACTCATTTCACCTGCTCTTCCTCATCTGTTGCGCTTCATTATCACCCAGCGCTCAATCAGTTTCCATAAAGGCGGTTTAATGCTCTATCAGTTCTCTTCACTCCTAACTGGATATGCACTTCATTTGTGACTCTAATCTAAGGGGGGGGCTAAATTTGATCAGCTTGCTAAGTTTCGCATGAATCCTAATTGGTTTTATCCATCAGTAATGTAGCACTTCGGAGGTGTGAATTTTCCACCAACAGTTTGTGTGTTATCCGTGTTGGTGCCAGTAAACCATGTCCAGCGGTAAACCTGTCAGCGTGTCACACACACACATACACCAAAGAACGGCCTCCGAGGCACACTGTTGTGCAGCTATCTCATCTGGTTTACTGGAAATCGTGACTTGTGCATATGACCTATCGAACCTGGAGACGCACAGTTCGGAGTCTGGTAATTTACAACTAGGCACACAACTGAAAAAGTCAACCAATGGAATCGGTTTCGGACAGGCCAGATTCTCAATATAGCTCATATTGCATGTATGCATACATCTGATTTTATATAGTTGCAGCAGCATGCGT